GCCTGGCATATGCTGACGATGAACCTGCAACTGGCCCTGTTTCAGCAACACATCTGTCGGGCATGCTGAGTACATACTTCGCCCAATTGATGCACTAATTCCTGTTTTTGTTGTGAAACATGCCTTGGCCAGCTCTTTGGCATAGGCGAACAACAACATGGTGAAGCTGTTCCGTGACCATGGAACCCGCGTGGAGAGCCTCTCTGACAGGTTGTTGTTGGTGCTAACAAAGTCGGACAAATGGTTCGCAAACACTCGCCGGAAAGATCACGTGCAAGAGCATCTGGATCGCTGGAAGAAGGAGTTTGAAGTTGAGCCAATGCTGATGGGCAGCACTTTCGACAAAACAGCCGACATCAAGGATGTGAATGTGCGGAATGAGGAGTATCAAAAAGCAGACCAGCGTGAGCAGAACGACATCAACAAATTTCGGGATGAAGTTATGAACGCCCTGCAGGGTGAGAGGCGCGAGTACTGGGACACAAAGGTCGGTTTCAAGCATGTGCAGTCTCGCGTGCATGAGATGTCCCTTGGAATGGACATGTCCAACTTGCCTCGAATCATCAGCCAGATCCAACAGAGCCAAAGCAAGGTCGAGTTGGCATTGCATAAGACTGCGGCCGAACGAAAGATCACCGATCCAGAAGTACTGAAAAGTCGATGCAGCAAGTTGGTCTCAGCCCTTCTCGCCGACACGGAAAAGTTTGTCAGTCGATCACCCGGTCAATGCCTTTCGCTCCATCTGTCCTCTTGTCGTGCACTCGAGGACTGCACTGTCGGCCTGCAGTATCAGGGGTTTATGTCGCTTCGTAGGCATGGCTGTGTTGAAAGGAGACCGCGAAGACTCTCTTGCAAGAGGAGGAAGAGTTCATGCAGGCTGCGGCCTCCTTCTCGTCGGACTCCATGAAGGCGGCATGGAACGAGAGACGGATGTCGATCATCGACTACAGCCGCGCCGACGAACAGGCACCGGATGAGTTCAGTGACTTCTACAAGGGGATTCTGGAAAAAAAGGAATTTCTAAGCCAGGTTGCGCAAAGCGAGGATCCCCTGATTGCTGGAGCCGCGATGACACGGGCAGCTGAGTTCTTCGAGTTCATGGCGCTGCAGTACATGTACTTTGATGCTGGGAGCGAACGTAGGTCGAATTGAAGTTTGTCACATTTGCTCGTTCGTGTGCGCACAGGGTGCCCTTCCACGCCAATGTAGAAGGATTCGCAGACTCAATGTCAACCT